AAACTATGAGACAATTCCCTTTTTTTACATGATCTGAACTATATCAGGAACATTTTAATCCTAAATTAACATAACCTGAAGTTAGTTATTCCTCTTTTGCAACACTGTTATAAAGATCTGCAGAAACAGAAGGATTTTCCTTGGTATAATTTTTTTGCTAATAAAAACTATCACACTTGAGCTCATGGAATTAAGTGTGCATTGATCAGTCTTGTTCACACTTGTTCAGCAAGTAGTTCCATTAAAATGAATGAACCAGCTACCGCTTCAGCAATGTCTTGATCCACAGCCTAAAAATGTCTCTCTCTTAATCTCAGTATAACTAATGTAAACAGAAAAATATACTGTGCTATGACCAGTGAAATCTGAAAGACAAAGTGCATTGAACTGTACTCCAAGTTATTTTGACCTCTGTATGATTAAAAAACTGGGAAAGTGAATTTCATTCCAGTGAACTGAGGTGGCATGTTGTTGTTTGTAAGGCAGCCTGTTGAATCATCCCTTACTTCCAAACCCTTTGGGAGTGGCCCAAGCGGTATTTAATTACAGTTCTGTTAGCAAACCTTAGAAGTATACTAAATTCTGAAGGGATGGATTAGCTAGTAATATGCATGCAAATACAAAGACACCTTGTAAGACATCCTCCCAGTGTTCTGCAGTTTGCACACTAAGGTGTAGTGTGTACTCTGGAACCCTATTACCTGCAAAATATTCTGCTTCGGGCTGTTTCATATGAGCTTCTGGTATCAAGAGAGGCAGCCGGTCATCTTATTGGCTTATCTATGAAAAAGAGATATCCCCTCTATTTATGTCAACATCATGTAAATCAGCTTGAACACTTTCATTAAGGGATATCATGACATTTTGTACCTACATAGACAGATGAATGTTTCAAAATCTACATCCTGTGACCCTCGGGCAGGGCAGAGCAACACATGGATGAAAAGAAACTAGCTTCTATAACAGCAATAGCTAGAGCCAGTCAGTTTTTATTTGAGCTCAGGGTATACAGCTATTGAAGACATTTTCAGTATTTGCAGTAACAGCTGTGATTCCTATACACATTTTGCCAATGGGAGGACAAGCATTTTCCTCTGAGTAACTAATCATGCCTCCAAGGGGCTGTGTGAGCAACACAGGCATGCTTTTAAGGGAGTAGAGAACGCTACTTTTGCTACAATCTTGACCTAAGCCCAGAAGAGCAAGGCCCTTAGGGTCGTCATTTCAAGCAGCACTACCCACACCTTTCCCCTCAGTCATGCGCTAGATCTTTACTTCACCACTATGGGAAAAGAAGTATGAACAAGTTAGTTTCTGCTTTTACATTTCTCATGATTTCAGCAGTTCTTAAAGTCTGATACGCAAAAAGGTCTTGTTAGAGACTGATTACAGGCTGGTTGCCAGAAAGATCAAATAAGGTATTTTAAGCTTCATCAACCATATGGATGTGCCTTGTCTTTTTAGAGGATGTATTTTTCCCTGAGGATTTCCAGCATTTTAGAGTTCTACTATATTAAGTAGAATTTATAATAATTTCAGATAAATATAGGATGACTGTGAGACTCAGCACGGAAGTCCACAAAACTGACAGCAATTGTCCAAAAGTGCCAAGTTCTTTGATGCTAAATTTAACTTGTGTGATTATATTTTCAACTGTAGATACATTACACAGCAATTATTAATAAAACAGAGTTCAAGGCTTGTGCACACTTGACTAGCTGCAAATACTTCTTGAAAAAGCTTGTTTTGTCTTCATGTCCCGTGGCTGAACCACCAATAGCCGCCTCCCACCCCTCAACACACACACTCGTGTTCTGCAACCGTATCTACAAGTTCTCCTTATCTACTTGTATTTGTTTTCTGTTGGACAAGTGACATAACGCTCTACATCTTGCAGCTAGATACATACCTGACGGGCTGGCTAACATGTAAATGGCGTCCAGCAAATCCAGCTGAAAAGCAAGTCTCTCATCCTCTGGCAGATGAACAAATAGGTTCAGGGGCTGCCTTCAGTCCCTGGAACTACTGCAGGAGGTTTTCCCTTCTGGGATCTCTACCCTACTTTTAAACTTCACTGAACTGGCCTGCAGGTTAAACAACTGTTACAAAGGGACTAACAGAGGTACCTGTGGCATGATTGCAGAAGCCTTACTTCCTCAGTGAACTGGGTTAAAAACTGACTCGCACCTCATTGCATAAATTACTACACGTGATGTAATGGCTGTTGAATGCAAGAGTAACTATTCATCTGAGCAGTTAAACTAAGGTTTTACTAGGTTATGCTCATGGGAGGGAAAAGGCAGTGGCTCTAAGTTTTAACAATCCACCTACCTCACTAACTCACAATTTCCACTATTTCAATTCTTCTAAAGCCAGTGAAGTCCACTGCAAAGGGCTCCACAATGGGATGTCAGTCCACAGCTCTGGCAAGGAATAACCTTACATGTTCAAAAATCCCCCTTCAAGCCCTTCCGATCTATACCTGAAAGAAGACTGGGATGAATAGAATAAGATGTTTATTCCTTATACAGTGTTACTGAAATGTGTAAATTAGGAATTTCTCCTAAAATAGAAATATTGTCCTGAAAATGTTCTGAATCTTAGGTAGAAACATGGGAAGTTAAAAAACTGTAATAATGCATATCACATAATGATAAGCAGCCCTTAAACCAAAGCCCCCAAAGCCTCTAGAGGAAAATACCTATTAAGCGCATGATGACAGTCACTAAAATTCTTCAAAATGTGTGAGCTTAGGAATATAAAAAAGTGGAAGATACCAGTACTACAGTATCTAGAATATTATTTCCCCAATATTATCTCCCAATAATCTGCAGCAGTTTCTTTTAAAACCAATGCTGTGCTCTTGTTTGTGTGCCACGTAACACACGTGCACAGTAACCATGAGTGCCACAAATAAATGTCAGGAAAACCCCACAGTTTTTATTAATTCACAGCAACCTCAGAGCACACAAAGAGCACAGGATCAGTCCCACTGTCTTCACGTTCTTTAGCCATGTCGCCATTAACAATAACTTCAAAGGAGATGCTGCCCTACCCAACTTCATTTCAGCCCCGGAAAAGTCTCCCTGTGACTTCCAAGAGAGCTGGGCACAGTTTTATAAGAATTATATTTGCCTTGTAGACTGATTTGCATTTTATGCCCAAGTTAAATAATACCAAAACCCCTACGAGACACAAAAGTTCCTAGAACCTGCATTCTGCCCTGCCTTTACTCCTCACAGTCCTGAGGCATACAAATGTAATGAACTAATTTTTGGCAAGTTTTGTTCATCAGTTAAATGTTTATCTTTTTTTAAACTAAAACAAGTATGCTCAATCAAAATTGAAGCTTGGAAACATTGCTGGGAAGCTAGCTACTAAAAGGTCTACTATAGAAGCGCCAAAAAAAGAAGGAATTCATAGCAAGTGGGAGAGAGCAAATGTCCCATTAATTCCCACAATTAATATGGACAGGTCAAAACCAACACTGTAGCATGCAAGTAATAACTGCTGATTTATTGCACATCGCAAGCTTTTCTTGGAGGAACACAGAGGACAAAATTTGTAAGCCAGTTGTATTTTTATTGAAGTATCGTAAGACACCAGGGCCTCAGGGGTGTAGTCCCACCCGATGAGCAATACGCAATGCAGCACATGCACTTTGGGAATGGCCGTACATGTGCACAGCCTCCCCCACGCCGCCTACTGCCACATTTGGCATCAAGATAAAACAGAGGGTCCTGCCAAAAGCAGAAGTTCAAGAGGAAACCACAGCCTCTCTAAACAGCAGCGATAGCAGCCCCTAGAAACAAGTGCATAGGCACAGGCCATCCACAGCAGTGAATATATGGTATAGAGCACACATGCATCCAGCAGATGCAAACCTCCTCCCACGCATGAACGTGAAAACCTTCCAAATCCTTCCCCCACTTGCTGTGTTTTGTTCTGGGAGCTCATCCTTCTCTTAGCAGACAAAACTTCAACCTAAAGCTCTACTTACATATGATCACGAAGAAGTTTACTGTTAAGAGTAACACCTGAATACATAAAAAAACCCCCTAGTTTAATTGCAGGAAGAAAACGGCGAGCATAATTTGCTCTTATGTAACTACACATGCAAACGTAACTTTACCCTTCATGACAACAGCTATGACAATTACATTTTATTTAAAGTGTATGCCATTGCTTTTAGATGTAGATGTGCTCACAGTATTTGAAATGTAAAGTAAATATATTATTGCTGTAGTTGTGCTGTACTTCCTGACCAAATTTCCTTAAAATGTGATGCATACACTGAGAAGACTTCCCCCCCTCCTTCAGGGATATATTAAATATCTTGGGAACACACTGCCCCAAGCAATGGTTCTTTTCAATATTGGATACACAAGAATATGTCCCAGAGTTTTCACTATCCTCTGGATTTGTTCCCAGAATAACTTCAGGAAATTTCTAGGCCTTTCTGTACAAGTAAGCTTTTCTAAAATACTCTTTGGGAATAGATTCTAGAAGCAGATGGATCACAAACATTGGAGCCCAGCAGGAAAAATATTATTAGCAAAGTCAGCATTTATACACTTGTACTTCTTTAGGACTTTTCTTTTTTAAAAAAGTGATGAGTTATTGGTGAAAAACTAACATCACCCATTTTGGTCTTCCTAGTCGTATCTGTGGCATCCCACTATATTTGTCTCGTATCTTCATCCTGCTTACTTTCACAATGTTTTCTGAATTTGTACTGAGGAGACAATGCTCTGCCTCATTTGATTAAATAATTAGATTTCACGTCACTTTCTTGTCTGTGTTGAACAAAATGTGTCTCTTGTCCTTTTTCGAAAGATCAGCCCTTAGAGATGTAGCGAGTTTTCAGAAAATAAAGTGCAAAAAAAGCGAGAAGTCGGTGATGAATCTCAAGGCCTAGTAATTCCAATTCCCTCAGAAACCGTACCAGCTGTGTTTTGTCTGACATTACAAAAGATAGATACATGTGAATTATACTCTGCTGGAGGTGAATATGGAAGCATATTAAAAAGCAGTACCATTTCAATTGGATTTCCCAGTTCCTGCCCTTTGAATCAGGTTTTTTTCTATCCCACATACAATGTTTATCAAACCTTTTCAAGACTGGAAAGGATGAAATACTTTCACAGGAAAACAGACTGGCCAATATTTGGGGAATAGGTCCTTAATTCTTAAATATTTCTAAAATGCTGTAACAAGAAGAGATTTTTTTAAGTGTTTCATATTAACATATTTATTCGCTGCATTTGACTTAATCTGTAACTACAGTAATTTCATATTTACATCTGACATAACTATGGATCAAAATTTACATGGAAACATTTGCTTGAACATAATTGCACTTGCAAGCATTCTCTCCCACTAATATTTAAACCCTTATCTCAAACTATTCTGAGAAAAACCATTGATGTATAGCTAAACAACTTGGCAGTCAGAAAAAGCAGTATTTCAACAATTCTTCAACTTATTGTTGTCTCAGCACAAAAAAGCCCACACTCACTTTATGAAAAATATTACAACATCTCTAGGGTGTATAAAACAAATTGTTTTTAATGCAGCAGTTTTGGCTCATATTAAAAGCATGTGGAGATTACTGTCTCTCTTTTTGAAGGTAAAATGAGCTAACTCTGCCAACACTTAGAGGAAAAGTTCTGATGTTCTTAAGTACTCTAAAAAAGCCTAGACCCCAAATTTTTCTTTTTAGTGACAATGTAGATACCACGTGAAACACTACACACATAATATTTAAAATTTATGTAATAGGTTATTTTTTAAAGCTTTCAGGCCTAAGCAAGAAATTTAATTTCTAATTTCATTCTAAATAGGTCCTTCTAATAAACCAACATTATTTCCAGGATACAATCAACCAGTTTGATCTGCTATTAGAAGCAAAGTGTCAATAAATACATGCATTTTTATACTGTTTTGCAAATGAATATTGAATAGAATACTGCCACCTTTTGGCTATGACCCGGACTTAAAAATGAGACTTCTCTGTAAACCTAAAACCATTTGACATATAATGATTATTCTAAAGAATTCAGTATGTCAATAGGCTAACATTATGCTTATCATTAACGTTGCTGATGCAGGAATAAAACTTTTCATACTTAACTGCATAGTATTATCCTATTATCTTTTCGATAATGAGCAAGCACTTTCACAAGGGCTTTTGTCTTTAGCAGAAAAGAAGCAGGCATAGCTTTGACATTAAGCTAATAGAATTACTACTTTACAATCATGGCAATTCCTCAACTGCTTAGGGTAAAATAGTAATACTTTTGTGTAATTCATACACTCAACTTCGTAACTATTGATTCACTAATTCTCAGAAAATTCTTACTGGAGAATTGTTGAGTCTAATATTAACATACAAGCATTTTAAAACACAGGTGAAAGGCACGTAAGTTTTTCAGCAACTCCAAAAGAAGGGCTCTAAAGTCTTTTACCATGAACAGATGATGACACTAGAAAAGGCAGTGCAGAAAAATACAGGGTCTGGGATTTGGGGTTAATCCCTAGCAAGTGTTCCAAATCATCGCAGAGAGATTCTCCCAACTGTGAGCTAATGAGGTTTCAATTTAATTCATTTATGCTGAATAAATTAAAAAAGAGGATTTGATCCATCTTTGGGGAAGAGTCTGTTTGATTAAAAAGTTCAGGAAAACAAGCACTCCCTTTTCTGGTTCAGTATTTGTATTATGAATTGGGGTGACTGACTACTAAGCTACATGGAAGGATGATCATATATCTAAGGGCTACTTTAAATGAGACCTTACAAGCCTACAAGTAGTTTACTGTGAATTCAGCTACCTAAACTCTCCAGTTTTGCACTGTCAGAAAATAACTAGTTAACTTGATGAAAAAAACCAAAGAAAACCCTAAGTTCCCCTAATTTAAAAGAAGAAAGGTTCCTATCCAACGCCCTGTAAAATGCTAATGCCGTAGTTAAGTGGAATATGATTTTCAATTGTAAGCTTTTTCAACAATCATGCTTTAAAGAACATGTTAAAAAGCAATAACCACAACTCATTTTGCTACTGTAAAGGCAGGGCTCTCATATCAGCCTTCTTCCTAGTATTGCAAATGCTTTATGTAGAACCTTTATTAAACCATATCAGAATTAAGTAGGGGGAACTCACTAGCCTGGAATCTTAATTTCCATTTACAAGGATAAACATTTCAAAATACATACTGACAAGGGCATTTTGGAATTGCAAGGCATCATTCACATTTAGAGAAGAACAAACAGCAGGATACACAATACATACACTTTTAGCCACCAATACACTAGTTTCCCCTCTTAAACCAATCCTATTTAAAATATCTGCATTTTTCCAACTATTGCCTATTGGCACACGGAGTTTTTACACGTAGACCATCCCAATTTTCTGATCAAAACTGTGCATGCTCAGCTTGAAACAATTTACACAGAAAAACAGTCCTTCATAATTAAGCAATGTATAAACAATTTCATTTTAGACACTTTTTTCCTCATCTGTCCTATTCAAAACCAAAATAATCTGAAAAGGACAACTAGTACTATTTACAAACTACTTGTATTTTGGAAACAGAATTTTAAGCAGCATTTACCTTTGACAAATAGCCCTCACTAACCTTTACAAATTTGCCTGTAGGGATAAAATGACAAATGACTCTCACAATGGGGCTTATTAGACTCCTAACGTGGCCCTTCAGGATATACTATTTCAGATTATATCAGCAATTCCATTTTTCAGGGCCTAATAACTCAGCTTGAAAAAAATAACCAATCAAAAAAAACCAAACAGAAAACTCACACACACCTTCCCTGTGGGATGAGATTTAGCACATAACATCATGAAGGGAATTTGCTTCAACAACTTAAAAACGTATCACAGTTTCATGACATTCTTTGCCTGTATGCAGCTCGTGATGCCTGTATTTCTGAAACATGACATTGTAAAATATTAGCATAGGCAACTGAAATGTTTTCAGTATTTTAGGACGGGAAAGAAGAATTGGACCTCTCATACTCCTTTAAATGTGATTTAGCATAGTAGGGAAAATGCTGTTCTGCTGCAGGCAGTAATATTATCTGTCGTGCTAATGCTCTGGTCCAAATCCTCTATCTGTTTCTGATCCCCTAAAACCCACTGAAATCAACTGATCCTTCCCACTGCCTTCAACAGGTTTGGATGAAACCCCCTAAGATTGTATCATGCTGCAGGAGACTAGTCTACAAGGATACGATACCGGACATTTAGCAATACCACTCTTGTCAGGCAAGGAGGGAATAACTACTGAGATCTAAGCCGTCATGTTCTGTTGACTGAAAACACTAATATAAATTGTGCAGATCAGTATTTACTAAGCGTACAACAGTGAGAAAGGAAAGTCAGCTTTCCTTTCACTTTCCTTGCTGAGGCTGCATTTAGAATGGGGATTCTGAGCCAGTTCATACTGGGAGAGGCAATCACATCATCTCAGTAGCTAATCTCCCTTTATTGTCCAAGGAGAGAGAAGCCCACAACCACAGGGTGAATTTGATAATTTGACAGGAGTGCCTATATCATTCCTCCTTCTACTGCTTGTTCCTAAAGCAGCCAGCTGGGTCTTTGTTTATTACAGTATCTGCTATAAAGCCCAATTTAAGTGGCGGACTCAGTAGATGCACTTTAATAACAAGTTAATGTCATCACTTCAGACACTCCTTCAGTAATAACAATTTCTCCTCACTGTAGGCTGCATTTTCTATTATTTTATCCACTTTTAACTTTATTATAAAATCTTTCAAGATGCTATTAAAACTAAATTCGCTGAGAGTTCAAAGTGTCCAGGCGATACAGTACAATCGATAAAGAGCGAGAATAGAAGAGCTGGAAAACGTGAGAATACCTGGCTCTCAAAAACCTTAACACAGAGCTGGTAACAAATGTATAAAGGGTGTCTTGAAAACAAACAAACAAAAAGAATCAGACCCAAAATAAACTTCGCCTGCTCACTGCTGTCTATACCCTACACCCTTCAGGAGCGTAGGAGAGTACCTCCTACCCACACGTGCTCTGCTTCAAAGGCACTGAGTTCATCTCACATTTTGTAAGGCAGCAATCTCTCTGCTGCTCCACCTTCCTGCCTCTTTGGATGTGTCTAGACTGCTCTGCGAGCTCTGTGGTCTCTTGGTCCCAGCCTTCACCCCTGGATTTTCTACCCAAGGAAGAAAGTGCACTTAGATCTCCTTCTGATATGGAAAAAGATGACAGGGTGCACAGGGAGTACAGAGCTCTTCAAGAGCACAGAGAATTTGTTTCCCTTTCTATCCATAGGCTACTTACTGCATTTTTTGTGCCTTACCTATCTGTAATGCTTCAACTCACGTCCTGTTCTGTGACTTGTTCCAGCAAATGTTTTAGTTGCTGTTTCTCTTACTCATTTTTATCCCTATTTGGATCTGTTGTACCATCTCCCACATTGTACCCCACAAAAATTGTCCTCAGTTTATTTCTTTGAGCTGCCTTTGCATAATTTATTATCTCCGTATGATCTTCTAGTAATATTTTTACACAACTTTATCTCATGTATCAATCATCCATTCTACATATTGTCCCACAATTATCACAATGAATGTAGGCTACTGCAGCTGTGGAAGAACAATGCCTTCAAAGACAGCTCTCGAACAAAAGAAGAGAAATGAACATCTTCACCACAACCCCCGCCCCCGTGAGAAATTCTGCTTTCCACTGTCTTAGACTCATTACCGACTGGAGGCCCCTACAACAATTAAGTACTGCAAGAGACCAGACTGAGGTCAGATCTTTTCCTCTTTCCTTGGTTCTGCCACCAATCTATTGTGCTAGCTCTGAGTAAGTCTTTATCATCTCCCTGCTTCAATTTTCCTCCTCAACAAATGCGCCTAAAATGTTATCCCTCCTGCAGAAGTTAATTTGAGATGAGTAGAGGGAGCACTGTAAGACTGGAATGTTTTTCTTGTAGTTAGCATGGTGACTC